CCCTGAGAGTCTCCTTTGGGAGGGCCTACAGAGAGACCTCATAAAGGCAAGTCAAGTGTTTGCTGGGCACCTGCAACGTGGCTGTGTCAGGGGCCGTGTGTGATGGGGGGAGAGAAATAAAAGGCACGATGTTGTGGACCCAAGACATCCAACACTTAGGGAACCAGCCAGCACCTATCCAAGTGTTAAATTATGCAAGTGTGGATGACGCTCTGGGGGTCCAGGAGGAAGAGTGGCTGCAGTGGTCAGAGCAGGTTTCTTGGAGGCGGTGGCTTGGCGGGTGATAGGTGGAGAGGAGTCTGCGTGCAGGGCGCAGTACTGCCAGCAGCGCGGGCAACGGCGCCAAAGCCGAGGCGACAGGGCGCCTAGAGCCGCCCGGGGCGTGGCGACGCGGGTTCGTCGTGGCTGCCGCGGCTGCTGCGCCGGGGCTTCCTCAGCCGCATCTGTCTTCCAGCCTCGCACGTCCAGCGGCTCTCAGTCGCCACGAAGCCAGCAAAGGCCGCGTTTCCCCTTCAGCGCGTCCCCAGCCCTACTCTCCCTCCTATTTAGTTGTCTTCCGTCCCACTGGTGGCGGGCGGGGCATTTTCCCCTGCCACTCCCTGCGGCCGCAGCAAGGACAATTATAGTCTACCCGCTGAGAGCGCCCCCTACAAAGTTTCCCAGGAAAAACCTGCACCCGAAGGGACAAGGCTGGCTTCTGAGAGAGCAGCCAAGCTTTGTTCCATGAGCCTTGCAAGTACGCATCTTAAGCGCCCTACAGTGCTGTTCTTGACCCCATTTTACAGCTGAGCAAGCTGAGGCACTGAAAGCTCAGACTTTGCCCATGATCTCACATGTGAAAACAGGCAGACTCAGGCCCTTAACCACTCTACCAAGTGCCTCTCTTTACACGGCTGCTGCTGGCGTTGGTTGGCCCCACATAGGCCTGAACCACTCCCGTTCCTCCAGCCTCCCCAATTATTTTCCGGGCACCACACTGTCCTGTGCTGCTTCCTGGCTCTAAGTGTGTGTGTGTGTGGGCTCTGCTTTCAGGGTTTTCCGCTGCGGGTGCTGTTTGTGGTTTGCCAGGTGCGTCAGTTATCCTCGTCTGGAAAATGGGCATCACCAAGCTGCTGAAAGGATGAAGTGAGAGGATCCACACACAGTTAGGAGAGCGCCTGCACTGTAGACACTCAAGAAACGATAGGTGAGCAGCAAGAGACCAGGCCCCTGGCGTACCCCTGGGGCGGAGCAGCGTCGAGCGAGAGCGAGAGCGAGAACAAACCCACTCGCTCTCGGAGCAGGTTAAAGAAGGTCATGTTCACTCTGGGGCTCTCACTGGCTTTCAGCAGCTGGGACTGTCTTAGGAGCCTGGAACATCAAGCCCAGGAGTATGTCTGGTCTAATCAGCCCTAATAAGTCATGTGGGTGTGCAGTCGGTACATCTCTGATGGCAGCGTCCTCGGGCGCCCCAGTAGCATGCCTGTTCCTCCCCCTTTGGAGTAGCCTGAGTCATCTTGTGTGACAGTGATCAGCATTGTCACCATCACAGCCAGATAGCCATCAAGTACTTACTATGCGAAGGCTCCGTGTTAGGGGTTCAGGATCAGATAGGCAGCCTATGTTCACAGGATGGTAGATACACTTGATGTGGAGTCAGTCCTGTTTTGTACACAGATTTGGGGAGGAGGGGTGTCCCAAGGCCCTGGCTCTCTAATACTCCAGCATGGACAATAGAGCAGCAGTCCAGGAACCCGGTGATTCCTAAACCGCTGCTCTATCCAGATTCCCCCACTCAGCCCAGGGGCTGGGAAAGCAACAGATGCAAGTTAGGAAGGCCCTCCACAATTTATTACTGTGAAATTGCTCCCAGGTAGCAAGGGGCTGGATCCAGACAAAAGTCATTTCTGCCATACCAGAGGAACAGATTCCCCCTGTTGTTCATTCATCCTCTCATCCATGTCTCCCTCCAGCAGACATTAACCACACACTCACTATGTGTTATGTTCCATGCTCCATGTTAGAAATGTAAAGAACAAGACATAGC